GCTGATGCTGATGATGCTGATGATGCTGATGATGCTGATGATGCTGATGATGCTGATGATGCTGATGATGCTGATGCTGATGATGCTGATGATGATGCTGATGATGATGATGATGATGATGTTGATGAGTTTGGTGATTGTGATGATGATAATGATGAGGAGGAGGATGCTGATGCCTTTGATCAAGATGGTCATGATGATGTTGACAGATGGTGACGATGATGGTGGTGATGGTGATGGTGATTGGAATGATGGTGATGATGATGCTGATGTTTAGATGATGATGATGATGCTGATGATGATGCTAATGATGCTGAGGATGATGATGAATGATGTTGTTGATGGTGATTATGATAACGATGATGATCCTGATGATGCTGCTGATGATGAGGCTACAGCTGCTGCTGACAATGCTGTTAATGGTGTGATTATGACTATGACGATCATGATAGTGATGCTGATGTTGCCGATGCTGATGATGATGATGATGGTGATGACGGTGAGGGTAGTGATGGTGAAGGTGATGGCGTTGCTGCTGATGATGATGCTGATTGTTATGACTCTGACAACCATGATGATGACGATGATGGTGCTGATTATGATGGTCATGATGATGATGAGGAGGACGAGGGGGATGCTGCTGATGGTGTTGGTGATGGTGATGACGATGCGGACGACGGGGGTGATGCTGATGATCATGCTGCTGATGCTCATGATGATGATGATGATGATGATGATGATGATGGTGGTGATGATGATGATGATGAGGATGACGATGCTGTTGATGATGCGATGATGCTGAAGACACTTATGCTGATGCTGGTGGTGATGGTGATGGAGAGGGTCATGGTGCTTGCGATGGTGATGGTGGCGGTGATGGTGATTCTGAGTATGCTGATGATGATGCTAATGATGATACTTATGATGGTAGTGACGATGATAATGATGCTGATGATGATGATGCTGATGATGATGATGATGATGATGTGTACGAAACTGATGATTTTGATGTCGATGGTAATGATGGCGATGGTCATGGTAATGGTAATGCTGATACTCTTGCTGCTGCTGATGATGATGATCTTGATGATGTTGATGATGGTACTGCTGCTGCTGACCATGTTGCTACTGGTGGTGAGTGTGACGATTGCGTTGGCGATCATGGTAGTTTCGATGATGATGCTGATGATGAAGACGGCGACGACGAAGACGGCGACAATGATGTTGATGATGAGATTGACGATGATGATGCTGTTGCTGATGATAGTGATAGTGATGGTGGTGATTGTGAAGCTGCTGATTGTGATGCCGACGACCACTGCGACGACGACGATGCTTATGCTATTGCTGTTGCTGTTGCTGATGATGATGATGATGATGATGATGATGATGATGATGATGATGATGATGATGATAGGGATCAGGAGGAGGTTGACGATGATGGTGATGATGACGAAGCTCATGATGACGATGATGATGATGATGCTGATGATGCTTATGGTCATGATGACGACGAGTATGACGACGATGATGATGACGACGATGATGATGATGATGATGATGATGATGATGATAAGGTTGGTAAGCATGATGGCCATGATGACGATGATGATGGCGGTGGTGATGATGATGATGATGATGATGGTGGTGACGGTGAGACTGTTGCTGTGATGACGACGACTACGATAATGATGTTGACGACGACGATTTTGATGCTGATGATAATGATGCTGCTGAAGATCGTGATGGTGCTGCCGATGATGATGATGATCAGGAGGAGGTTGATGACGACGATGACGACGATGATGATGATGATGATGATGATGATGATGATGATGATGATGATGATGTTAATAGTTATGGTGATGGTGACGATGACGACGATGATGCTGATGATGATGATCATGATGAGGAGGAGGGTGAGGATTGGGATGCTGGTTATGATGATGATGATACTCCTGCTGAATGTGGTGCTGATGGTGATGGTGGTGTTGATGTTGTGTATGATGAGAATGATTGTGATGATGCTGGTAATGATGCTGATGATGGTGGTGGTGCTGGTGTCTGTGATGATGAGTGTTGTTGTCGTGGTGATCTGGTGAGGCGCATGAGGGCGACCATGATCTAGACCGGCCTACTGACCCCCAACCCCGCTGGCACCCGAACCCACCCACTTTCGCCGTCCATGACGCCCCCCCTGAAAAGCGCCCCTGGGGTTCAATAAAACGACGCGAAGATCGGGACAAAATCGGATCGGGATAACTCGAAATCTCTGAGAATCGGCGGGTTTGGAGGAGGCATTGGGCGCCGCGGCCGCTGCAGAGCGTTCCGGAACGCTCTGAGAGCGCTCCGAAACGCTCTGGAGCGATTTATCCCGATCCTAGCCCTGCTTTATTCAAGCAGATTGGCCATCGGCTTTGCCCGCAGCCTCCTCGCGCGATCGCTCGCGCGGCACCTCGGCACCGCGCGGCGCCGGCGGCCCCCCGAGGCCCGCGCTCCTCCCGGGGGCTCGTGCAGGGCCCGCCCCGCGCTTCTGCAGCGCTCGCGCGGGGCTCGCCCGCGGCGACGCGCAGGGCTCGCCCGGGCCCGCGGGCCTTGGCTCGCTCGGGGCTCAGGCGGGCGCAACGTCAGGATGCGTTCAAGTCTGCTCAGGAGGGGAAAAAACACACAGACACAATTAATCGTCGACTCCCAGGAAAATATGCGAAAATATGGGAAGTGGGGTGGAAGACAGAAACCCAGAAAATATGGGAAAATATGGGGGATAATTTTATTTGTGTGTATTTATTTGTGTGTTCTTGGGCCCCTTCAGCCGTGGCGTATGCTTGCTCGAGAGGGGGCTCGCGCAGGGCTCGCCCCGCGCTTCTGCAGCGCTCGCGCGGGGCTCGCGCGGCGACGCGCGGGGCTCGCCCGGGCCCGCGGGCCGAGCGGCTCGCTCGGGGCAAAGGCTCAATTCGATGCTCGTTTCGGGGGCCTTCCTGGAGCCCACCTAACGGATCTGTTCGACCGCAGTTCGACCCCAGTTCGGCTCAAGTTCGACTCAAGTTCGACTCAGGTTCGACTCAGGTTCGACTCAGGGTCGACTCAGGGTCGACCCAACTCGACTGACGTTCGACGCGGCTTCGATGCACGAGTGGAGCGAGTGGCTCCAGGAAGGTTCCCAGAACGAGCATCCAAGGTTCAAGGGTGGAAAAACCATCCCGACCCCGACAATTTGCGTTTACTAAACAGCCCTGGGCGTCTACTGAACAGCCCTGCCCTGTTCGATTCCTTCCGGGCGTGCGTTTACTAAACGGCTTCGCTTGTCGGGGTGCTTATAATGGGGGTGGATTTTCTGCTCTCTACAGGCGGGCGTCACGCGAGGATGCGCCAAGTCTGCGCGGTGCACCGGCGGGAGCACGCTGTGGCGTATGCTTGCTCGATAGGGGGTACACCGGGTCCCTTGGCACCGCGGGCCATCGAGGAGCATCCTTTGTCATTTGGCGAAAAAGCCACGCACGAAACCGAAGAAAGCACAGGAAATGGACGTCTGAGCGATGGCCAGGCCCTGAGGGCAACGGGTCCCGCGGTTCTCACCGTTCTCGGCCTCCCGGGGCCCTCCACGGGCCCCGGGCTTGTCAGGAAACGGCTCAAACTTCGGTGTCGGCAAAGAGGGGGGTGATGACTACGTGGGAGGGAAATCATGGCGTGGGCCATGACATTTCCTCAGATGTCATGGCGCCTCTTCTTCTCCTCATTTCATTACGTCCCTCCCCCCCCCCTGGGCCGCGCACATGCCACCGGTCATGATTTGCACCCCCCCCTCTTGGACGCCCCCCTCCTGGCCGCCCCCGAAAACTGCAGAGCTCGTCCCGGGGGAAGGCCCCTGGGTCCAGGTTGGGCGCCGCGCAAAGGGGACCTTCTCTGACCCCCCCAATTTGTGACCCCCCCATTAAGCTACGCCCAACCAGGACCTGCTTCCGTCAGAAACCCCTGAAACCCTGAAACCCAAACCCTGAGCCCGGAGGGTTTCGGGTTTAGGGTTCCCGCCCGCCTCGCTCCCGCTGCGCCCTCATCTCATCTCTCCTCGTCCTCCTCCTCCTCCTCCTCCTCCTCCTTCTCGTCCTCTCCTCCTCCTCTCCTCCTCCTCCTCCTCCTCCTCCTCCTCCTCCTCCTCCTCCTCCTCCTCCTCCTCCTCCTCCCTCTCTCCCTCCTCCTCCTCCTCCTCCTCCTCCTCCTCGTCCCCGCAGCCTCCTTCTCCTATATTGCCGTTTTCTCTCAGGGGGCGCATCCGCCGACCATCCACGGAGGCCCAATGGAGAGGACAACCGAACAACATCGTGTGGGCGCAGGCAGCCCAAGGTGCCGAAGCGTGGGCGGCGCTCGAGCATCACTGCGCCGACCTCGCACCAGCAAACATTTTTTTTTTGATCGGCGGGGCGAGAGCGAAGCTCTGCGGCTAAAAGCCAGGCGGGCGACGCACAGCTCGAATTAGTGGAGACAGGGCACAGGAAGGCGGGGCCTCGGGCGGCCAGGAGCGGGCGGGGCCCGGGGATCGGGCGGTGCCGAAGTGGATGTGCAGAAAAAGGTACGCCCTGGACGGGAGGCCGAGGGCGAAGTCCCAGAAAGCCGCAGCGGCAAACAGCCAGGACCAAGACCCATAAATTAAAGTGAACGCCCAGAGGAAGTCGAGACAGCACGCCCAGCCCGCGCCGACACCGACACCAAGGGCCTCTGCTTCCTCCTCCTCGTCTACTCGCTTTCTATGCGTTTCGCACTGCGTGCCTCCAGACAGGCCAGATTCTCGAGGCCACGGCCTTAATTACCCACCTGGCCTGAGCCAGGCCCGGACGCTGTCCGCAACGGTGGTCGCATCGCATCGCATTGCATTGCATCGCATTTAGGCGACGCGTCGTTCTCGTGGCGCGCCACCTCCTCCTCCTCCTCCTCCTCCTCCTCCTCCTCCTGATGCCCATTCTCCTCCTCCTCCGCCTCCTCCCGGCCCTCGCCGCTGCCGCCGTCGCCTTCGCCGCCGCCGCCTCCGTCGCTGCCGCCGCCGCTGTCTCTCTGGCAGCCGCTCTGGCCGGAGAGCGACGCCCCCCCCCCTCCCCCCTCGTAGGCCACATGCAAACCCGACCCCACCACCCCACAATTTCGAAGGGGGGAGGTGGGTGGGTGCTGGGGTAGGGCTCGCATCTGGCCTCCTACCCTTCGGTCGTGCGTGTCCTCCTGCAGGCGGCTGCCAAACAAAGACCCTGCCCTGACTATTTTGGATTATTTTTGAATATCCCTCCTGTAGAGGGACATGCCCGACCTCATCCTACCCCCACCGCGGGGGCGTGGCGCGGCGCGCGGCCCTGCAGCGCCCCTGCGCGCAGCGGGATGCCGCTGTGGAGCTGCGCCCGCCGTCGCCGCGCCGCTGTGGACGCGCGGCCGGCTCTGCAGGCGCCGTCCGCCGTGGCGTCGTCGCCGTCGCCCTCGCTGTCGTCGCCGTCGCCGCCATCGTACGCGGGTGGAGTGAGGAAGAGAAGGAGGAGGACGGATGCGGTTGAGGATGGGGATGAGGATGAGGGAGAGGACGAGGATGAGGGCGAGGATGAGGATGGTGAGAATGGTGTTGCTGCTGCTGCTGCTGCTGATGATGATGATGATGCTGATGCTGGTGCTGATGCTGCTGCCGCTGCTGCTGAATATGGTGATGATGCCGACGACTTCAACGATGAGGCTGACGATGAAGCTGACGGTGATGCCGACGATCAAGTTGATGCGATTGATCATGTTTATGAAGATGGTGCTGATGATGATGGTGATGGTGGTGGTGATTGTGATGGTGATGCTGATGATGATGATGCTGCTGGATGATGATAATGATGATGTTGCTGATGCTGATGCTGCTGATGATCATGTTGATGACGACAATTCCGATGTTGATGCTGCCGACCATGATGCTGCTGATGATGCTGTTGATGGAGGTGTTGATGATGGTTGTGGTGGTGGCATGGTGCTGATGCAGCTGATGATGATGGTGATGATGATGGTGATGATCATGAGTATGATGATGGCGATGGTGGTGGTGGTGTAAATGGTGATGATAATGGTGTTGATGCTGCTGATGATGTCTGTTGGGTTGGGGAGGATGATGAGGATGGGGGGAACATGATGGTGCTGATGATGACAGTGCTGCTGATGTTGCTGATTTCCCAGTTCTCAAAGAACAATTCCAATTTTTATTGACCCCTCCCTCTGTGCCCATGTGCTTATTCAATTAAAGCTCCTCTTGTTGGGGCTTGCACCTTGTTTTTTACAGGAAACGTTTGGGGCCTCAGATTGGATCAACAACGGCTTCCGCTTGATACCTCCGAACAATTTGGTTCAAAATCGCGTATTCTCGCGGGACGTCATCAGAATTTATGCGGGATTCGCGCTCTAGCTTGGCACGTCATCGCAATTTATTGCGGCGCCGTGCCCCCAACACTCAGGAATCGCTTTCTTCACTTGGGAATCGCGCTATCGCCAGAAACTTCCTTGCGATTCATGTTGGATTGACGCTTCAGCGACCCGCCTGCTCGACCCGGCCGCTTAGGACAGCCCGTCCCACCTGCTTGTTAGGATCCGCCCGCCGGACCCGCCCGTCTGGTTCTGCCGCTTGTACTTCTGCTCCTAGGTTCCTTTCTGCAAGTCTCTCTCGTGCTCCATCCTTCTCCCTCCCCCTTGCCCACCTTTCTTCCTTGCTTCCCTGCTGTAGGGGCTGTGCCAACTACATGTGGTAGGTAAGAAAGATCTACCGCGAAGCGGATGATACGATCGAAGACGACGAGGGCTGGCATCGAGGGTTTGTGATATGCGTGATGGGTGGCACGCGAGCAGATACAGGGGAACTCTCTTAAACGGATTTTTGTTGTAGAGGATGCGACTGCCAGTATTTGTGTTGTGTTTCTGTCTACGATGAAGGCGTGGATGATGATGAACATGGTGATGGTGATGATGGTGTTGCTGTTGTTGATGTTAAGATGATGATGCTGATGACGATAATGCTGAGGATCATCATGCCGATGATGATGCGGATGATGATGATGACGATGTTGATGTTGATGATCATGGTGATGATGTCGGCGCTGGTGATGTTGCCAATGATGATGGCGATGCTGCTGCTGTGGATGATGATGGTGATGGTGATGATGACGATGACGACGGTGTCGGCGATGATGATGCCCATTATGATGATGGTGATGATGATGATGATGCTGGTGATGATATGATGCTGACGATCATCATGCTGATGATGACGATGCTGATGATGACGATGGTGATGATGATGGTGATGATGATGGTGATGATGCTGATGATGATGGTGATTATGATGCTGATGCTGATTATACTGCTGCTGCTGATGCTGATGATGATGCCGATGCTTTTGATGCGGATGATGATGGTGATTGTGATGAAGACGATGACGATGGCGTCGGCGATGAAGGTGTCGATTATGATCATGATGGTGATGATGATGCTGCTGGTGATGATGATGCTGTTGATGGAGGTGTTGATGATGGTTGTTGGGTCTTGCATGATGCTGATGCAGCTGGTGTTGATGCGGATGACGATGATGATGGTGGTGCTACTACTTAGACTGCTTATGTTGCTGATGATAATGCTGCTGCTGATGATGAGGACGATCAGGATAATGATGATGCTGATGCCGACGACGACGATGCCGACGATCATGTTGCGAATGCTGATGCTGACGATGATGCTGATCATGGTGATGCTGGTGATAATGCTGATGATGATCATGCAAAGTCTGATGATGATACGAATGATGATGACGATGATGACTATGATGATGAGGATGATGACGATGATGGTGTTGATGATGTCAACGCTGAGGATGGTGATGATGATGGCGACGGCGAAAAGGACGATGCTGATGATTTTGGTGATGCTGATGTTGATGTTCATTCTGATTATGATAACGATGCTGCTGCTGCTGATGATGATGATGATGTTGATGATGATGATGCTGATGATGATGATGATGAGGAGGAGGAGGAGGAGGAGGAGGATCATTATCATAATGATTAACAGGAGCAGAAGCAGGAGGACGGGAGGAGGTCGCGGGGAAGAAGAGGTGAAGGATGAGGCAGAGGGGGAGGATGAGGACGAGGGGGAGGACGGGAGGAGCAGGAGGAGGAGGAGGAGGAGGAGGAGGAGGAGAAGGAGCAGGGCAGGGAGGAGGAGGAGGAGGAGGGAGGAGGATGAGGAGGAGGAGGAGGAGGAGGAGGAGGAACGGGAGGTGGTGGAGGAGGAGGCGGAGAGGGCGGAGGAGGAGGAGGAGGATGCGGAAAGGGCGGAGGAGGAGGATGCGGAGAGGGCGGAGGAGGAGGAGGCGGAGGAGGAGGAGGAGAGGGAGGAGGAGGAGGAGGAAGAGGAGGAGGAGGAGGAGGAGGAGGAGGAGGAGGAGGAGGAGGAGGAGGAGGAGGAGGAGGAGGAGGAGGACCAGCGCGCAGTAGGGGGGGGTGAGTTCGGGCCACCTGTCCACTAGGGCGGAGTGGCGGCCTCCTGCCTGGCTTGGGCTGCTTCTCTGAGCAGTTGTGCCAGGGGGACCGGAGGGAGGCTGAGCACGATCGGGCTGGCGGCGGCACTCTTAGGGTGACGGCCAGACTGTGCTCTCTGCAGCTGCAGCTTTGCCCCGTTGTGGGGCGGCCTCAAAACGCACTCGCCTGAGAGTCCACGCGAGTTGCCCTCCTTGAAAGAACCACAATTATGGCACACCAAGAAACTCGTGGGCTGCTCGAGGTGCTCATAGTAAAACAAATTATGCCCCCTAGGGTTGGAGGCTAGACTGGACATCTGAGGACAGTGTCCAGGGCAATCCATTGCTCTGCATCGCTCCTCCAATGCTTTGAATGTGCGGACGCGGATGCGGCAAATCGTGCATCGGCGCTGGCCATTCACATGGGCCCAGACATGGGCCCTCGGGGACGGGTTCGCGGGACGAACCCTCCGAGGGGGCCCAGGCGGCGGAGGGGGGGGGAGCGAGGGAGGGTCCCAGGAGGCCGAGGCCGAGGCAGCCCCCGAGGGAGGGGAGAGGCTGGTGACGGGCTTGGCCAGCGCCTTGTTCCGACGAGGGGCAATCGCAGGCCACTCTCCAAGGGCATGAGACACGTATCGTAGGTACTTCTTAAGCAGAGCAGTGTCATTCTGATACTGCTCTGCTTCAGCGAGACTGGGTTGACTGCCAAGGTTCGCTGCGGCCTTGGCAATCCTGTCGGCGGCCTCGTTGCCGCTGGCGATCCGAAATTCTTCACTATCGGGGGGCAACGAGTCCAAATTTTGGTGGGCCTTAACTTTCCTAAGCTTATCGCCGAGAGAGATCAGGCCTCCACCCGCAAGAACTTTGCAACCTGACCATTGGTTACGGCGAGGGTATCCAACCTCTCCGTGCAGCTGTAAAACCCCTTTATAGTCCGAATATATATTCTCAACCTGTCGGGAGAGCCTGCTAGCCGCGACCGCGGCAAGGTGTTCGGCGGCCCCAGAGGTTTGGGCCCCCAGGGACCCCACCCTCCCGCTGAAGGTGGCAAACTCGGCGCCATCAACCATGCACACTACGGCAAACCCAGCGGCATTGAAATTGTAATGACCGTGGTAAGTACAGCTACCATCTATAAACAGATCCCCTGTAAACGCTTCCTCAGGACTTAAACAGGGGTCTCGACACCAAAACCTGGCGGCCTCCAACCCAGTGCCAGCGGGAGGGGAGCCCACGAAATCGGGCGAGAACTGAAAACCAAGATGCAGGGGGGAGGTACCAGGGATTGGGTCTTTCAACCTAGTAAGCTCCCCACTAGTAAACTCTTCTCGGGCTCTGGCGGTCTTGGGGCACTCCAAGAGGCGGTGTTTGAGATCATCCTTGTGGTGTCCACATGGGCATCCTTGGGGAACATCATATCCTGCTGCGAGTGCGCGCTCCATCGTCCAGATGCTCTGGGTAGCAAAGGCCAGCAACGTGCCTCTCTGTTGCTTGGACAGGTCGGGGGCACGAAGAACAGCGCGCAGTGCAGCAACATCTAGCTGCTCGCCAGGATGTCCCATCTTGGCTGCAGCTCGTTCAGCTAATCGAAAGTGCCAGGCAATCTCTAGCTGCTTGGCAATGTAGGCGGGGGAGGTTCCTGGAAGGGGATACACAAGGCCTGCAGGTGTCACAAACTGGAAGGGCCCTTGGAACTTCCACCCCACCCTGGCCAACGACAGGGCCGCAGCACTAAGGGGGCCCCTACAGGAACCCCAAGATTTGGCGACCCTCGGCAAGACAGCCTCACCCCAAAGTCTGAGTTGCTGGAGACTGACGACGGCCACCTCGGGCCGAGTGTGGGCCTCCCAGACGAGACGGTGCCACATAAGCGCGGGCCCGAGGCCCGCTTTCCACAGGGGGTCCTGGAGGATGA